TTCCAAAAAGCACGATCTATTGCTAGAAGAACCATAATACAAGCTAAAGAAGAATCCTGGGAGACTTTCTGCGAGTCTTTTAATCCTAATACACCTTCGGAAAACTATTCAAAGAGGGCTCACAATCGATGGAAAATACGTTATAAACCCATCTGAAATTTCCGAACACTTCGCCGATTTTTTCCAGGCATCATCGACCTTGAAAGACAGTCAACTTCCAAACACCTCAACGGACGGGCCGGAAGCCTGGATGACCTTGACAGTAGAAGAAAATTCTGTTTTGAATCGTGACTTCTCTATTCATGAGCTTTTCCGTGCTATTGACATAGCTAGAGGGCACTCAACCGGAAATGATGATGTTGGCTACCCGATGATTCGTCGTCTCCCATTTGCTGCTAAACTAACAATGCTCAAAAGTTACAACGCTGTTTGGTTTTAAGGAAGATTTCCTGAATGTTGAAAAGAAGGAATGGTTGTGCCTATTCCGAAACCCGCAAATCACCAAACAGCAGAAGGATACCGCCTTATAACCCTCCTAAGCTGTATCGGAAAAATCTACGAGCGTATGATAAACCACGGGCTCATGAACTTTCTCGAGGAGCACAACATTCTGAACCCAAACCAGCATGCATTTCGGGCTGGTAAAGGCACTTCTTCCTACTTCTGTGATATTAAAGAAATCATCGAGGACATCAAAACTACCGGTTCTCACGCCGAGTTTCCTATACTCGACATCCAAAAAGCATACGACCAAACCTGGAGGCCAAATATCCTTAAACAAATTAGTGAGCTCAACATTGGACACCGAATGCGAAACTGCATCACTAACTTCATCGATAATCGTCGCTTTCGCGTTAGTTACGGAGGATCTTCATCAACTGAACGAATCCAGGAAAATGGAGTTCCCCAAGGATCTGTCCTCGCTGTAACACTGGTCCTGCTGGCCATTAATCCAATGTTTGACGCTGTTCCCAACAACGTCCGCGTCCTCGTCTACGCCGACGATATCGTTTTAGTGGCTACGTTAAAGCATCTCCCCAGTGTCCGAAATGCTCTTAAATGCTCTTAAAAATAAATAATAAATAATAAATAATTCATACTCGACCGTCGATAAGTTCGGACGTACTTTTATTTGGCTCCGCGTTTTTAATTGGTGCGATTTTTTTTTTACCTTCTGTGATTCAGTTATTTTTACTTGCATACATCATGGTTTGCGAAATTTGTGCTTGCGACACTTCTGTCGACTCGGTCATGTGGACGTGTGCAGGTTGCCCAAGAATGTTGCACGCTACCTGCATTGGGGTAACTGTACAACGGAACTCACTTAGCAGGAAGGACAGGAAGGTATCGGACTTTACATCTTACATACTACCATGCTGCGAGTCCTGTCAAGAGCTTTTACAGGCAAAACTCGATTTTAAAAGCATTGCTGAACAGCAAAAATCGATCGAAAAGCAACTGAATGGCAATGCGGAGGTGATGCACCGGCTCACGTTTCAACAAGAAAAACCGAACCTCGTTCATGAAGCGATCGATGGCATAGAAATGTTGCTGACTAGTATGAAAAATGAGTTGGCCGCAATTAATAAAAGTAACAGTTTAGCTGGCAGTGTCGTTGTCATAAAAAACCACATTAACTCGCTACTTGATACTGCAACGATGTCAACAAAGGAGAATGTTAATGTGACGGTCAAATCAGTGACGTCAGAGCTATCAACTGACCTACGTAACTTAAATGATGAGGTTAGCCATCTCACCCAGCTCTCTTTAGATACCGCGGCAAGTTGCACAATGCAAACAAATTCAATGTTGGAGCTTGAAATACTCGATGAGGTGAAGGCGCTGTCTGCCAACATAGCACACCATACTGCTGGTGGTGGTGGTGTCATAGTAGCAGTTAGTGTTGACTACGAATCTGAACAAATATCATCTTGTAAGTGTAAGGAGTTTGATCACGTTTGGGTCAAATGTTTCATTGGAGATCAAGTTAATATTTTTGCGACAGTATATTTTCCTCCAGAATATGCAAAGCAAGATCCATACGAAAAAAAATTTAAACTAGCTGAAAATATTATTTCGAAATGTGAGGCACATTTGCTTCCACATATACGGAGATTTTAACCAACGCTCAGTGAATTTTATTGTTGAATCTTTGTTGATACCGATTATAGGAGAAAATGAAACACTTCGTACTCTGTTCGACAAAAGTGCAGAAATTGGACTCAACCAAATAAATCACATAAAAAATCAAAATAACTGCTACTTAGATTTGTTATTCACTAATATGACTGATGATTTCTGGGTATCAGAGTCACCCACCCCTCTTTGGAAAAACGAAGTGTTCCACACTGCTATTGAATCAAATAAATTCAGCACTTCTCGACGAAACCAACATGCATATTCCTGACATTGCGAAGCTTCATCGTGTTGCTAATCGACCGTGGCACAACGGAGGAATCAAAGCGGATTGGTCGATTAAGCAAGCATTTAAAAAAGGACAAAACATCAAAAACGCACAGATTATCGTTCGCGATCATCTCAATACCAAATACAGTAAACACGTGAAGTTGTATACTGATGGTTCTAAAAATAACGGTAAGGTAGGCTTGGGAGTAATTGGGCCGAATATAATATTGGAAGACAGTCTCCCACCTCAGTGTAGCGTATTCTCCGCTGAGGCAGTTGCCTTAGCCTCTGCTGCTAACATCGCAACACACAACCCTACCATCATACTCTCTGACTCCGCAAGCTGCATTTCAGCCCTAGATAGAGGGAAATCAAAACACCCATTCATTCAAACGATCGAAAAAGAGGCAGCTTGCAAAGATATCACCTTTTGCTGGATCCCTGGACATTCCGGAATTACTGGAAATGAAGATGCTGATCGTGCTGCAGATCGGGGAAAGCTTGCCCGTCGAATTGAAAATGTTATTCCTGCATCCGATATCCTCAACTGGGCTAGAAAACTGTTACAAGAGAAATTTCAAGCCGCTTGGGACTTCCATCGTTCAACATTTCTCAAACGATGCAAGGCATCGACTGAAAAGTGGATGGATTGAAAAGATCGTCGCGAGCAACGCGTATTAACTAGACTAAGATTAGGTCATACTATACTAACTAAAGAGCACTTATTCAACAAAAACGTTTCAAAGTACTGCGACGTATGTAAAACCGAATTAACAATCGAGCATATCTTATTGCAGTGTGTAAGATACGATCTTATTCGCGAAGAAATAGGAATCAATAATGATCTAAGCATTACATTAGGAAACGATTGGAACGAAGAATTGAAGACTATAAAATTTCTGAAAAAATGTAAGCTATATGATAAGATATAATCGAATTTTCTCCGAAGAGGCGAATGAACCCGTTGGTTTAAAACCTCTATAATAAACAAAAAAAAAGGCGATGCGACCATAATTATTGTATTGTTCTCGAGGAGCTTGAGAGTAAACCCACGATCTTCTAGTCAGTAAGCAAAAGCGATAGCTATCAAACTAGCCGATCTCCTAAATTTAAATTCTAATCCTGTTTAAAATAAAATTAAACCAACAAAAAAGAACCGTCTCACCAGAATGATCCTATTTACTCCAGCCATGTGTAATAAAACACTAATGCACTTTGGGGAGCCACTTGTCCAGTTCTGGGGACTACTCCAAGACGGTCGATAGTCGTGGAGATTAAATCACACTCGCCGACACAAAACTATTCAAAACTAAAATTAAAAATATCGCGAGTGAGTTTTCCTGCCTCAAATTTCTGTTCCAGGGGCACAAGCGAAGAAAAAAAATAAACAATGCAGATAACGACATCCTATCTGATGCTTGCAAACATGATGAATCACGTTTTCTTTCTCGATTCTAATACTTCTCAGAAAGCGAGAAGACCACCAATCACACACGTATAACCGTCCGGAAGGCGGAATTCCAGCGCTAATCAGGCAAAAGCAGCCGAAAACTATGAAAGCGAACGCACGCACAAAACAGAGATTAAACTCAAAACACAACCGTATCCAAAGGGGTACGAAACTGAACTCCAGTTCCTCCTTTTTTACATATTCTGCACAAAAATAGGGTTTTTGATCTAATTTCCGTCCTACTAAGCACAACCCACGCTTTACTTCTCTTTATTGAACGGGTTTTAACAATAAATGAAATTTTCCTACCAAAGATGACTTCTAAATTCATTCCTCTTTCCAGAAGTACCGTAGAATTCGATAAAGAGCCACACATTGTTGAGATATTGTTAAAAATCTAACCTATTCCGTCCAAACGCATCGAAACGCCATTGGATTTTCTTCGTCCTACGGATGAAGGTAGAAAAAGCGAGTTTGCTAGGAGCGCTTCTTTTGTTTTGAGAACAATGAGTGTAAATATGCACACAATACGCTCTAATAGGCTTCGTGTTGTAGCTTGTGAACTAACGCATCGGTACAAACGTATTACTGATTTGTGCACCTTGAAATCATTGATTATACTGATGTTTTCTGCTCGATAGAAGTACCACTCTACCCTACATCTGTCCCTCCTTTTTTACAAATTCTGCTCAGGATTTCCTTCCGTTTTATAAATGAAGCGAAGCAGAATGTATATTTTGTGCAGAATATGTAATCTAAATGCATATGTAGAAGTACCAGGCATGTTTTGCAGTGTCAGGTACTCTATTTCTGATTTCGTTAGGTGGTCGTTAACTTTTTTTTTACCTCAATATATTATTTCCACTTTTCTCCACTTCTCTACCAGCGGAACAGCACCATCTCTGAGGAAAATGACCTGACGATATGATTCATTGATTGCTGCTCTACCTTTTCCACTATTCTAACGTAATCCATTTGGGTCATAACGGATAATGGGATTAGGTCGTTAAGTTGCATCGTTGAAAACGTACCCTGTAAAAGCGACTATTGGAGAAACCCACGTTTAAACCGACAACTATGAGTGTTAAGATGTGCTTTTTTGTGCATATTATTTATTCAATTTTATTTTACATTTCATCCGCAGGTTAAACAGCTCACAACACTGTGTAGTCAATTTTCAATACATATGGTGGAGCTGAGTGGACTCCAAAAAGAAATGGAAAAGGTTATTCAGACTCACCACAAAACCACTTGAGAATTATATGAGAAAAATAACCATATTAAGAAATCAACAGATGTGAAAAATGTTCAAGAAGAATACACAAGAGATATGAACAAATCCCTGAAAAATAATTACATCGCTAACAACAATGATGAGGTTGAGGACTACTACAAATACATACTCACTGACTGTAGCACACTTTCCAATGCATACCTTCAACCAGTTGAAACCAGTACAACCGATACACAAAAGCGATCTGTAGCCAATGCACTGACAACAGTAATTCCTAATCTAGCAAAAGCTAGTATCGTTTTGATAACCACCAAACTGAACCAGTCTGATGAAAATAAACTCATTCATTACAATGTTAGCAGCAGTGGAAACATGATCATCAATACCCTAAATGAAACTAATTTGAAAACATTCAACTCTGAGCAGGTAGTTATAAAAGAGATTACTGCTCATACTTCGCTGAAACCATGTACCACTAGATCTAGTGAACAACAACCGAAAACAGCTACCATTTTGGTTTCAAAATCAAAAACGAAAACTGGACTTCCACTTCTGCTCAAAAAATCTAAATAGCGAATTTAAAAATTTTAGTATTTTTAAACTGATACACTGACGGCAGCCAAAACGCGCAGGCAAAGATAGCAGCGAGGTAGCCCAACCAAAAATAAAAAGGAAGTTTTTTTAGGTTTTAGGTGGAAACTTACTGCAATAAAAGTTAGTGCTCCAATAATGTAACCTTTACGGGCAAAACTGCTCTTAAGAATTAGTATGAAAATACACGTAGATGTACCTACTGCTGAATGCTACTGTTACATACATTTGTATTACAGTTTTCCTGGATGTATTGTGCTTTTTTTAACGAGAACAATAAAAAACAATGTATTACAGTAAACATTATTTGTAAATTCAATATTTATGTGTGAAATACTTTTTCCTTGGTTTGTTTTCCGTCAATCCTATTTTCCGTGCTACCGATGCCAGGGAGACAGTTCCCACATCTGGACCCTACCTATCGACCCATCAACTCATGAACCGGGGACTAACGACTTTACTTCCCTTCCGAATGAAGGCGTGATCAGAGATGTTATGCCTCAGAACATCCCGGCGGCGCCAACTGGGTTTGAACCCAGGCCTGCTGGTGTGAGATGTAAGCACGCTTACCACTACACCACCGGCGCCGCTGTGTGAAATCCTTCAACAAACTTTATTTTTCTTTTCTATTTAAATTAATTTCAAGTAATACTTTTTTTAGATCAGATACTGTAAAACTGATAGACATCAACTTATACATACTGATTATACTGATCAATAGGTTATAAAAAATTAGACTCTACACACTTAGAAATGATTACCGACAATTTGTACCGAACTTTCAACAGCTGAACTGTTCGGAAAAAATCAGGCATTTTAATTCATCAATTGTAAAGCTTCAAAACAAGGAAAACTTCTCCGCAATGGCAAGACTCGATTATTTAAACAAGGCTGGCAGTGTGTTGAAATTAAAATTATGTGAAACACTTTTTCAAAGTGTTTTTATGTTACTTCATACGCGAAGTTAACGATTTTCAGAGTTGGTTGGAAATGCTAACATGAAGCTTTAGTGTGATGATTTATTAGCTAGAGAATGATTTTTAGAAGAGGGTAGGTGGATTGTTCCGTTAGAGTACGGCAGGATGAAAATTGAATAGAAGTTGAAAATGAGCGAAGGGCCATTAATGCGACAGTTTTCAAAGATAGACGTACATTTTTGCCTAACCCGTACGATGTACGCGGGGCTTGAAGTATGTCTCCAAGTCCACAGGCAAAAATGTGCGTCTATCTTTGAAAACTGTCGCATTAATGGCCCTTCGCTCATTTTCAACTTCTATTCAATTTTCATACTGCCGTACTCTAACGGAACTATCCACCTACCCTCTTCTAAAAATCATTATCTAGCTAATAAATCATCACACTAAAGCTTCATGTTAGCACCCCTATGTGAAACAGTTCTAGAAATGAGTGTCACAGTTTTACCGAACTATCAGCTGTTGGAAGTTTGGTAAAAACTTACCGAAGTCGGTAATAATTTCTAAGTGTGTATGACGTTACCCCGAATGTAACTACCTCTAATGCCGTTACCCAAAACGCCGTTACTCCGAACGCCATTACTCAAAATGCCTTAACCCCAAAATTAATAGCTATTAGTGGGGAAAGTACAGCACGTAATCTAAAAAAGGGATAATGTTAGAGAAGGAAAATTTCTTCTTTCGTTTCGGTATACAGTTATATACATACCTCAATATAACGTATCCTCAATATTGCCCCGTAACGTGGGTAGATCACCTTTTCGTGGTACGTTATGGGATGATTCCTAGTCCTGACTACTTAAACAAGGGGAACATGATTTTTCAGCAATTCAAGGAACACATCTTAGGCTGTGAACCATTTGCCGAGTTAAATTTAACTCGTGATTAAAAGTGACATTTCGAAAGTTATTCTTGATGTTCGAAAATCCCTGTGCTGTCAATCGACAGGTTTTCGAGAAGAACTCAGCCACGGTTATCAACATTTAACTTCTTGTCGGTTAGAAATAACCACGCAGGGTTAATCGATAACTTTCCATCTGTTAAATTTTAACCAAAAGTTAAAATAATCCACCAAATGGTTCAGAGCCTTAGTCTCCATTTAAGTGATGAATAATCTTCTATTCGTTGTTCCCTAGTTTGAAGTGGTTAAGACTAGGGTTCTGATGCATGGTCATTATCGGTGTCATTGCTTAATGTTTTTGCTATAGAATCTATGGTACCTAGTGTATAGAGTTGACAACTACTTGGTTTTGGATTGGATACACCCCTGTTTACCATTCTAGTGTTGCGAAAAACCACCAAAAATTTTCGCCGCGAATGCGAAGAGGCAGTTGGCAACAGAAATTTTTTCTTTAGACCCGCGTAAGTCTTTTTGAATTCTTAGATTGCATCAATATGATCATTTACTCTAAGTGCGCAGAAACTCACCAGGCACACTTGTAGGAAAGATTGAAACTTCTCAAAATTTATAATGTGCCGAAACTCACCGGTCACACTTGGTACCTATAGAAGTAGTATTTTTCGGGTCCAGATTCAACAAAGGTTTGTCGGAATCTGCACATGTATTAATCGAAATTTTGGATTTATACAGCCACCCAAGTATTATGGGCCTGTTAGTCACTATTATGGGTCAATCAGTTCTGGGTGTTAAGCAGATGGAAGTGCCCCATAATTGTGGGTGGCCCATACTACTGGGTGTAGTATATGTGACATGGTAGTAATTAAAGAAAAATCAATTAACCTTCATTTGGTGTGAAGTCAGCTAATTGAATTTGGCAGCACTGAGCGTCGACGTACACGAATAGCTTATTGACAGATACGCACCGAGATTGGATTGAACTTGAGCTTCGGAAAGCTCCGAATACACGAATATGATCCGTGCCTATGTAGTGGCAATCGAAGATCGGCTTCGAAACGACGAATGCATAAGATGCGAAGTGAGGGAGATGAAATAAAGAATTAGAATAAGCCTTTGGGTTGGAAGAGTGCGACACGATGTGTGAACTAGTCAATCGAGCCCGTTCAGACTTGCTCGCCATTCTGTTAACGATTTTTAAAGCGGACAGTCGCTGGTGTGGATCGCGGAAAAGTTTGACTGGCGTCGCCTTTGACAGTGAACAATGGAAGAGGCTTGAAACCTCGACCAGTTCACGACACTGGGGTATGTAGACTGTATTGTATACTAATTCTAAACCTTAAGGGCTCAATTATGAGCTCATTACATATTCGCGTCCTGTTTTGACGCTTCGAGTTAAAGCGCTTACTTCTATCATTTTTAGTTTAGATTCCCTCAGAGAATTTTATAACTTTTACTATCCCACAGTCGTACGCCCGGCTCAGACACCTGTTGTTCTAAGGCGCAGGTTTTCCTTGGATCCTATCCATACGCGCCTTTCTTGATTCTATTTGCCTCAGAATATTATTACTTTCACTCTCCCACGCGTGCGTCTCTATTTTCATGATAGACCTTTCAGACTGCGTTCTTCCTAAACGAATACCATTGTTCCATATCTATCCTGATTGACAGCCCGAGGATGCAACTTTGTTATTGCCAGATCAGCTGTAATTACACAGAGAACTAATAGGCGTTGCTTGGGACTAACATTGTGTAAATACCGGTGATCTTAAATTAGGCAATACCAGCGCCGGCCACGTCCGAATGCTGGTCAAGAAAGGAATGGGTAGGAATATGTCGACGTAATACTCGCTACAATGAAAGCAGAGAACACCTCTGCACTTCCACGAGAAATCACTGGGAAGTTGGATTGCAGTAGGATTCCATAGCGCGAAGTAGCTTTGGTTTGAACCCACGGTCTTCTGCTCAGTAAGCGAAATCGGTTGCCACTAGAACACCGAGGTCCTTATATCACAAAACAATTACGATCAAGTTTCCGTTCAATTTGCTGTTACTATGTTTCGATCCCCGCGACGACATCACCGAGGACGACAACAACTGCTCTCGAGAAGGATTTGATATGCATCTCCAATCAACACGTCTTTTCTAAAACTCAAAGATTAGTTATTTTACGAATTGAATTTCAAAACGCTCAGTAATGTATGAGGCTTGGGTTCTAACTCACGATCTTCTGCTCAGTAAGCAAAAACGGCTGCTCTAAAGCCACCGTGTACCTTACATCACAACAAGCTACGACCGACGATCGTTCATTATCACACAATCTACGAACGACTTTAAAAAAAAACTATTAAAATAAAGCGACGTTCCCGAAAGCAGCCAACAATATCTTCCAAACTGGATCACGCATTCACCATTTGGAGCTGTTTATTAATTACGTAGACAGTTTTTTAGAATTCTTGACACCCCCTCTCCCTGCGCAGACAATTGTCTATACACAATATTTTTTTAGGCCGTGGATAATTGCCAATTTCAGAAAAACCGTGTAAAAAACCGCGTTATTTCAAAAAACCGTGTAAAAAAACCGTGTGATAAACCCATGTTATTCAAAATTCATCATAACAAAAAACTGAGCAGCGTGCATGGAATTTTGTTCGGTACTTGTAAGTCATGATCACCTAGAACATATTCGTTCATGATAAAGTTCTTCTGGAGGTAAAGACCTTCCGAATGCTCTGTTCATGTGCATACCGTGGTGCATCCTAATTTCAATCAGTGCCAAACTCTATTCACACAAATCTTAACATTGAATATCAAACCGATTTGACGCGTAACATCAGTAATTTAGTTTTACATATGGATCAGTTCCAGGCGAAAACCGAAAAAAAATTGAATTTTTAAATCGACCGTCTCCGATTTGCATGAAACTTTGCGTAATTGTTTGTTATGGGCAATGATTCTCATTGGCACAATGGCATTATGCTAAAATTTGGCCATTTATGATCTTGTAAAATTTTCAAAATAGCGTCCTTGAAATTTTTCAAATAGTTGTAGCAAGGGAACGGTATTTCTGATCGAAATGACGTCTGAGACAAAGAAATGAATAAAATTATTGTTTTTCTAAAA